CTTCGGACCAACAATTAACTCACTTGAAAAAACATGGAAAACATTAAAAAATATAATGATTGAAGCCGCTGACCATGTAATGCCAAAGAAAAAGTCACGGAAACATAATAGAACTATAAATAAAGTAGTACTCACAAATTATAAAAAGGCTAAAGCACTTAATAAAATATATCGATTTATAAAAAAAGAAAGAGCCAAGTCCCTCAAATATATTTTGTCACATGAATATTTTAAGAAAGAAATACAAAAACTCTCTTCCCTTAATTTTGGAATTGACAAAATAATCGCAACAAATTCAAATAGAGAAGACCTTCTAGCTGCCATTCGGAAATCTAGTCTGGATCACCAGTGCATAGCTAGAGCAGAAAAAAGAAAAGATACGTTAAAACATATACAGAAATCTGTTGAACAAAGATGGGAAAACCTAAGACTAAATCCCAAGAAAATGATCAATAGTGTACTTGATCGTCCACGTAAATCCATTGTAATGGATCATCTAATTAGCGAGAATATTAGTGGGGACATTACTATAACTACAGACAAAGATGAAATTAAAAATAAAGTACGTAATCATTTTTACAATTGGACAAGCAAGCGGAACACGGACATACTTTTAATGAATAAATGGGCAGAATTCTATAACCCCCTACCTGACGTTGATGTGAACTGGTACAATTCCCTACTACTCAATGTAGAGATTGATGAACTAATAGAAACCATCACTTCACTACCAAATAAGAAAGCACCAGGTCAATCTAATTTGCAATATGAGTGGTTTAAACACTTACCAATGGCCGGTTTAGAGGTACTAAGAGATATAATCAATATGGCAATAACATTAAATGACATCCCTAGAGACTGGAAATTAGGTTTTATCTACCCTATACCCAAAACTACTGACTGGGGCCATAACCTAAACATCACTCGTCCGATTACATTGCTAGAAGCTGGCAGGAAAATCTTCATGAAAATAATGAACAATAGATTATCAAAAATTTTTAGCACTAACAAAGTTTTGTCAACCCACAACTACGCTGGTCTTCCAGGAGACGATACTCAAAGTCCTATACATATCATTAACAATATTATGGAGGATGCACGCGTTAACAAAAAAGAACTCTGGATAATGTTCCAAGATATGAGTAAAGCATTCGATTCTGTTAACTCTGACTGCTTAACTCATGCATTAAAGAGAATTAAAATACCTGTAGGATTTATCAATATCATCAACAACCTCCTGAAAAATCGAGAAAATATAGTACTGACAACATACGGAAACACAACACCGTACACGGTTGAAGACGGAATCGATCAGGGAGACATAATTTCACCGCTTCTATGGAGAATTTTTTATGATCCTTTAATTAGCCGAGTGGCCAACGAAAAGTATGGATACATAATGAGAGAAAAATGGATTGAAGACCTTAAATCAGGTACAGCAAAAAGTTTGAAACTCAAAGCTTCTGTGGCGGCATATGTAGATGATACAAATTGGTTCGCCTCCTCACGTGACAGTATGGAAAAAATTCTAGATATCGCTAATGAGTTTTTCCTAATGAATGATATCAAAATAAACAAGAGTAAATCTTATTTGGTAGCAATCAATGCAAGTAATGAGAATAAGATTAAAGGTGTTAGATTAGGTGAGGACACTCTGCTCCCAGTTGATAGGGATTACCCTATTAGATCACTGGGCGTATATGTCACTGAAAGTGGTTCTAAACGATTTCAAAAGGAACGGCTAAAAAGAGTAACTGATTATATGGCACTTATTTTGAAGAATAAACCAATTACAGATAAGCAAGCAATTTATATTTTCAATGCCGTGGTCATTCCAATGCTTGAGTACAGCTTGAATGACATGACAATGTCAGAAAAAGAATGTTGAAAAATAACAACTAGATTTATTTCAGTGATTAAAGGAAAAGCCGGTTTAGCTCGTACTGCACCCAATGCACTCATACATGCTAAGGAGGCATACGGAGCCTTTAACCTATGGGATAGACAACTCCAGATGCATAGCAGCAATTTAATGAACCGCCTAAATGATAAAGAGGTACTGGGGGCATCAACTCGGATACGTTTACAACACCTACAAAATATTTTTTGGTCTAATAAGATAATAACTGAATCTATAGAGGTCTTTAAAACTCCCAGAAACCAATCCCTCCTAAATGATATTTTGAATATTTGTAAATCACACAACCTTACATTTAAACTCTCAGATAACATCAAAAAGAGCATGCTAATTAGAGGTGGTAATATAACTATAGAAGATATTCTCAAAGAAGACACCTGTTACTCTAGACATAGAAGAAGCCTAAAACAGCGTCAACTCATGTTCCTCGAACAACTCATGTCATACAATGGTAAAAAGCTCCTACACTGGCAGGAAATCACTGGCAATGAAAGACGAGGTCCAAAACCCAGCTGGTTTAAAGTAATTGAAAATAAACTTTTGTCACCAATATCAGGAAGATTAATCACCAATAATAGTATCCAATCGCAGCTAGGCCATAGATTTAATACGTGTATGTGGAATATCGATAAAAGTTGTAGGGATATAAAGTGGGTAGCAATTAGAAATACTCGTAATCAAGTTCCAACAATTGGAAAGAAACGTAAAGTATTAAATGCAAAAGAGTTTATAATGGAGCATTATATCAGGGAAAGAGATTCGGAGGGAGTAGAAAACTCCATTTTGGAAAAATGCAAGGGTTGTACACAGGGAGATAATAATCTAACCAAACATCTTAAGAACCAGGAGACTTGTATGATTAAGGTTAATATTATACACTCTGTTAATATTAATGTTATCAAAAGCAAAATCTCTTGTCGGCCAACAGTAGACAAACGTAGCAAACTTCGTCTTCGCTCAGAAATAGAGGCCATAAACGTAGGTCTGAATAGTATTACAGAAAGTATA